CTCCCTCACCCGCTTCTGGAAGCTGTGAGGGCCCTGGGAGCAAAGACCCTGCCACCAAACCTGCGACTATTCCCCGGGGCCATGGACTCGGACGCCAGCCTGGTGTCCAGCCGCCCGTCGTCGCCAGAGCCTGATGACCTTTTTCTGCCGGCCCGGAGCAAGGGAAGTAGCGGCAGCGGCTTCACGGGGGGCACCGTGTCTTCATCCACGCCTAGCGACTGTCCGCCGGAGCTGGGCGCCGAGCTGCGTGGAGCCATGGGCGCGGCGGGCACGCATCCTGGGGACAAACTCAGTGGCGGTGGCTTTAAATCGTCCTCGTCCAGCACTTCATCGTCCACGTCGGCGGCTGCCGCGTCGTCCACCAAGAAGGACAAGAAGCAGATGACTGAGCCGGAGTTGCAGCAGCTGCGCCTGAAGATCAACAGCCGTGAGCGAAAGCGCATGCACGACCTCAACATCGCCATGGACGGCCTGCGCGAGGTCATGCCTTACGCGCACGGCCCGTCGGTGCGCAAGCTCTCCAAGATAGCCACGCTGCTCCTGGCGCGCAACTACATCCTCATGCTCACCAACTCACTGGAGGAGATGAAGCGACTGGTGAGCGAGATCTACGGCGGCCACCACGCCGGCTTCCACCCCTCGGCTTGCGGAGGCCTGGCGCACTCGGCGCCGCTGCCCGCGGCCACCACGCACCCGGCTGCAGCCGCTCACGCCGCGCACCATCCCGCCGTTCACCACCCTATCCTGCCGCCCGCCGCCGCCGCCGCCGCCGCTGCCGCCGCCGCCGCCGCCGTGTCTAGCGCTTCGCTGCCGGGCTCAGGGCTGTCGTCTGTGGGCTCCATCCGGCCTCCGCACGGCCTGCTCAAGTCGCCGTCAGCGGCCGCAGCCACCCCTTTGGGAGGCGGGGGCGGCGGCAGTGGCGGCAGTGGCGGCTTCCAGCACTGGGGCGGCATGCCCTGCCCGTGCAACATGTGTCAGGTGCCGCCGCCCCACCACCACGTGTCGGCCATGGGCGCGGGCACCCTGCCGCGCCTCACCTCCGACGCCAAGTGAGCGGCCTGCGCCGCGCGATCTAGCGAGCGAGGGTGGCCCGGTGTCCGCCAGGGAGCGAGGACTGCCCGGCGCTGGGCTCAGGAGCTCTGTAAAGACGAGGACTGCAGGTCCGTGGGGTGCGGGGAGGGGGGTAGAAGGGGACTCCAGCCTCCCGAACTTGGCTTGGGAACGCACAGAGCAGCGGGGACTGAGGCTCTTGCGTTCTCTGGCTTTAAACCGCGCTGGTCCGGCCGACACTTTGTCAAAAGACACCGTCATTTGCACCCTTCCCTGGAATTCCTCTTCCCCGTCCCCAGCAAAAGAGTCGAAAACTTGCGGTGTCCGGCGAACAGGGCTTGACTCCCGGACTCAAGCAGTTCTTCGCTTCGTGGAGGGTGGGGGGACACGTTAGGACTTCCTCTCCTTCCTTCCTTCCTTCCTTCCTTCCTTCCTTCCTTCCTTCCTTCCTTCCTTCTAGGCGGGTAGGAGACTCCCGACCCCGCAAAAGCAACCGCTGGCCGTGGAGGGGCTTCCCTGGCCCAGGGCCAGGGGCAATGAGTTTTTGCAAGCTGGCGTTGATAGTACCTAAAGCACTTGGGGTCGTGTGAAATTTCCGGATTTCTGTATCTAGGTAGATCCTCACCACTGCAGAACTATGGCCGCGCCTCTCTGTTTCTCCTGTTGATTGGGAGGTTTTTTGTTTTCCAATAAATCTGTGGATGTTTCTTTTTCAACAGTTTGAGCAAGCTTTCTAGCTGCTCAAAATAGAATCACTTGTGGAATGAAATAATCCAAAGCTGGAGGAGGAAGCGAGTGTTCTTAGGTATTATTTTAAAATAGAAACTACTTTTCCCCTTCTTTCTGTCTGGAGCACAAAGTGATCTTGTGTCTTACTCCTTTGGAGAGGGTCGTTTCGTTATTTGACAGAACTAAAAGGAAGTTGATGTGAATATAGTGTGAGGGTTCTGTGCCCTTTTTATAATCCTTGCTGGATGTGAAAATATCAAATCGAGGATGAGGTAAGTGTGCCACGCTGAGCCTCTGGCTCGCGCGATGACTGCCAGTCCCACCGGCGTGTGAGCTGGTTTTTCTCTCGGGTTTCTTTTTGCCACGTTTAAGACAAACGGCAAACTCTTCCGCCTGCTTCGCGCGTCCTTGCGAGGCGCGTGTGCTGCGTGCGCGACAGTCTGGGCCTCACGCATCTGCTGGGGCGCATCCTTGCTCGGATTGTGCTGACCCTCGCAGAGGGTATCATCTGTTTTATTTTTATAAAAAAAAAAGAAGAAGAAGAAGAAAAGTGCTAAATAATATTTATTACTTGTTTGGTTGCAAAAGAAAAAGAAAATAAATGATCAAGTGTTGAGATTTTAAATAAAATGTGAAGTAAGTCGGGCATGTTTTCATCAGTGTGAATGGATGGTGAAGGATGCGATTTCTTGGGGCAGGGTCTGGGGATCATTTTTGTGGTTTTTGCCCAGAAGAAAGATTAAGGGGGTTGTTTATCCATCCCCTCGACCTTTCCTCCCAATTCTCTTCAAAGGGATCTCTCTGCACTTCTCCCAGTGGGTGTTTATCAGTGTACTTATTCTTGCTTTTATTTTCTGGTATCTGGTTGGAAGTTTCCTTTTCTTTAATGAAGAGTGAACTCTAATTTAAGGTTGAAAACATCCTTCCCTGAATGTGGCAGGTTGGCCCTTAGCTTGGGGGTCTGCGCTGGGGGACCCTCTCTCCTGGATGGGCTTCTCTGCTTACTGCTGGGTGGATTTGCTTGGCTTTTT